GAGTCTGTTCTCTGCACCTCCATCACTGTCTGGTTTGGCTCAGCAACCAAACAGGACAAGTACAGACTTCAGTGGACAGTCAGGACTGCAGAAAACCTCACTGGTGCAAGCCTGCCTTCCATGGAGGACCTGCACACCTCATGGATCAAAAGGAAGGCACAGAGGATCACTGCAGACCCCTCACACCCGGGTGTTTGAACTCCTCCCCTCTGGACGGTGTTACAGGTCACTGTACTCCAAGACAACTAGGCACAGGGACAGTTTCTTCCTCCAGGCCATCAGTCTGATGAACACTTGACCCACCATAGTATGATTGGGCAATAATCCTCCGTGCAACACCTTTAAACATACCTTATACAGATTATACATATTCGTACAGCTCTATTTTTAAGTACTCTATTTTTAATTCCTACTTATCCCATTTCACAATGAGCTTTGTCTGTCTGCATTGTTTACTGCACTGCTTATTTTGCATTGTTTGCACTGTTTGTTGCTTGTTAATTCTGCTTATTTTGTTATATTACACAGCCTTATGCTGGTTTACTGTTTACTTGCCCCTTGCACAGGGATATGTACATACATATTGAGGGACAATGTACCAGAGTCAAATTCCTTGTGCGTCCGACACACCTGGCCAATAAAGCTGATTCTGATTGTAATTTATAATAAGTATATTTATATGCAATTCTAACAATTGTATTTACTGCAATGTTGCAACTGTTGCTCCAGACACATTGTTTAACACAACAGCTATAATGTGACCTCTGCCTGGGTATGTAGGTGAAGTGCATTCATTTATTTATTCACTCAAACCTCTGACAGCTCTGCTGTGATTTGCCTAGAAAGTTGCAGAACCAGTTTCTTTGTCTTCTCGGTGCTGCTCCCTGAGCCAGCTAGGTGTACTATAACCACAGCAGAGAACATCCCATTACAAGCCCACTCCTGTCCTTTTACTGTGACTTTTCTCAGCACTTGTATCAAGCCTTTGACAGTCTGCCCTGCCATGAACACCAGGAAGTTAAACTTTGCTCTCAGCATGTGGGGCGGAGCTGGGGTTTTCCTTTCCCTCCTCCCTTTACCTTGGAATCTACTTGTAACTTGTTGTAGATGAAAGGTGGACACTGTGGGAAGCATTTTGCTTCTTGGACGAAACCATTGGCAACCGCTCAGGGAGAGGCTCAGATTTCCAAAGGTAAGATTTGACTGGCTGCATGTTGTGTTTGTCTACCTGCTGGTTACAGATGTTCAACATCAAACAACATTGTTTGGCAGCTTAGTGATCAAGGCTGCTGTGATTTACACGTTGAAATCAGACCATTTGTTTTGTTAAAAAGTTCAGAGGTTTCAGAGTGCCCCCCGAAGCCGAAGTAAAACTTTTCCTTGACACTCAGGTGATGCACCAGTCAGTTCAGGTAAAGGTTTTTCTTAGAACTGTTCTGTTAAGGAATTTTACATTAAATAAATCAGTTGCATTACTGTTTATTCACTACATTGGAGCTGGGTGTTCTGATTCTTAGTGGCCAACAAGTACAGCTCGGGATGATGGTAACAGATAAACATCACCATGGTTGTGTTATCACAGCAGTTTGAATTTACATTATTGCCTTTAGTACACAGTGATTGTGTTACTGTATCATGTAGCACAGTTACTAATTTCCAACAACCCTTGTATTTATTCAGTGTTTCCTAAGATTTACACACTTTTATGTTGTGAAACAACATTGAAAGGTAAAACCTTCCACCAACAAAATGATTATAGTAAACATATTATTGTGTTCTTTTACTGAATGCAAAAACACTACATTTCATGTTTTCACATGTGAATATTACATTTCCTAATCAGAAGTAAAAACACATCTTTTTATGTGTGAAAATTTATTTTGCATGTGATGCAACAATTCGTGTATGAGTGTATTTATGAAACAGCTTTTTACATATTATATGTGAATTTGTTTCACATGATATTAAAAGTCAAGTGATATTTTAACAATTTATATGTTACTTTGTATGCACAATTTCTGAAAATCCCATTTGCCAATGCAGTGAAATGTGATATCACATGTAAAAGAAGTTTTCATATCTTGTATGATGTTTAATGTTGAATTTCTGATAATTATATGAATTTAAAAAGTGAAATGATGCTTTACATGTTGTAAAATATGTGATGTCAGGTGTGAATGCTTTAATAATCAATACCATGTTATTTTATCACAAGTGAAATAATACTTCATATGTGATGTTATACTTGATTTAACCTGGGTTAGTGAATCTAAGCTGAGCACACATGTACAAACTAATAATAAAGCACCCTGTAGCTGTTGTAGAGTGTACGTGGGTGGCAAGTTGTTTGTAAAAGGATGTCCTTAAAGGAACCCACTGAGACCCCGCACAGGAAAAAAATCACACACACACACACACACACACACACACACACACACACAAAGCTGGAAGGAAGCAGGGAAACTGAGGTGCCACCTGCTTAAGAGACAGAAAACAAGTTGTTTCCATAATTACCCTAGACAACATCTGTTGTCTGACATAATTACACTGCAGCATCAAGGATTCACTCTGAGCCCCCCCCCCCACACACACACACACACACTTTCCTCTTGTGTAATATCCTGATAACCTGCATGGGAGCTGCCTTAGATGATTTTATGGTCTGGACCTGTACAGAGGACCTATGAATGCCTGAGGAACTTTGTGAGCCTCTGACAGAAATCCAGGAGCCCTTAAAGCAACAGCCATAAGCTATAGCTAATGCATTCAGACAAAGAGGAGGGTGTGCTCAGTTGCAAAAGCCGTGCATAAACTCATAAACTTCAGAGCTCTCAGCAAGACATATTTTTTATGAGTTCTTAAAGGTCTTCTACAGGCTCATTTCGGGGTTTCTGGTCTTCCTAAAAAGGGTTCAAATTCTGGTTTATTATTTTTGAAGTGCTTTCTCCTTGGTCAGAGGGAATCAAAAATCCTGAAGCTGGCAAACTAGAGAACACTAGTTTTTTAAGTTTTGGTAGGGCACAGACAGCTGATGTCAACCTGATGACAGTGACGTCAGGTTGTAAAATGACTTGGTTGTTTTCAATAGATATATTGTAGTGGACTCTAAGGACAAAATTCACCATGTAGTAGATATAGAGTTGTGTTCCTGATTTGAGAGAAAAGGTCACTGGAGAACTACAGCTGTTGTTGTTGTGTTAGCATGAGCTGGGGATCTGGCAGTCTGCATTTTATGGTCTTTGCTTTCACTTTCAATCACTCTCATTGACAATTAATTCTGCCACTAGTTGTGAGCGCAACACAGTGAATGTGGAGTAGCCATGTGTTTGGATGACATCATATTTAGTTTGAAGCATACTGAGACCTTAAATGTTCCTACTACTGTATGTGTGTTGCAGTGTGAGTGCAGCCATATGATGTGAACGACCCAGTGTTAAGAATTTATTACAGCTTAACTCAGTTATGTACATCTAGACTGTGATTTTCTCACCTGCAGTACACGGGGAAGGAAGTCATACATCACATAGTACAGGCAGTATGTACAATAAATCTTATTTAGCCCTTAGGTTCTCTGTCTGAGTGACTTGAAAGTATGTTCTCTGCACTCTCAGAGAATTATACCTTATGAATTTTTGTGAAGCCAGGAATTAAAACAAATGGGCTTGTTTGATGCTGACGGGACTGTGCACACTGTTTCTGTATGATCTGTTTTCCACACATGAAAAACTGGCCTGTGTCAGACAAAACACCAGGTTATAGGAGAGAAAAGTCTTTCATCGTCAGTCATACCTGAATTATAAAATCAAGCCATTTTATTGTTGACAGAGCACCAGTTCTTACTGCTCAAAGAGGAATACTACCTAGACTGTAAAATAGGTGGACAATGTCATTTATCTGGACTTTCATTTTTGTAAAAGGTTCCATTCCTTCAACAGTTGACCACTGCTATTTAATTTCAAATTGTCCTTTAGTACAACTGTCCAAATACTTATGGCCTGGACTAGATTAAGTGAGTTGCACTGTGGGACCCCATTTATGTAGCTTATATTTGTTTCTTTTTTGGAAAATTAGGTGCACAGAGTGTACTATTAGTGCAAGTAGCTATCTTATAGTTCCTGTTTGCTGTGTACAGTTTGATGTAGTGACAGCTGTTCTATGATTTCTCAGCAATTTTTGATAGAAATCACCAAAGGTTTTAAATTAGCCTTCCATGTTGATTTGTGGGCCAAACTACAATAACTCTTCCTGTTGTTTTCATAACCCCTGCATGCATCTGTCCCATTCACCTTAGACTGTATCTCTGCCTCATTGCTCTTCCTCCCCTGCAAATCTCCCATGCCTCCCTTTTAGTTCAAAAAGCTCTGGAATATAGTTAGTGTAAACTGTTCTAAAAGCAGCCCAGAACCCATCCCATAAATTTTTAACCACTTAAGTAATCAAAAAGTAGCCCAATCTGGCAATACTGCTGTCAGTCAAACACAGACACCAACATGCCCCTTGAGCTGGCAAAGACGAAAAGGAACCTTACTGGATATTTCTACAAAGACTTTAAATTTCTTCCTTTTATTAATAATAGACTGTTATCAGTGCATTTAAAAAGCACACTGACATTAATTTCCACTACAAAAATGGATGACCAAATGTGATCTCCACAAGTTTTTAGTAGATTTTGT